CTGATATTTTAGAACCAGAGGGCAAAATAGAAATGGAAAGAATCCACCGATCTCCTCCTGAAAGAGATCCCCAGAGGAAAACTCCTAGGAATATTGTAGCCAAATTCCAGAGTTCCCAGGTCAAGGAGAAAATATTACAAGCAGCCAGAAAGAAACAATTCAAGTATTGTGGAAACACAATCAGGATAACACAAGATTTAGCTGCTTCTACATTAAGGGACCGCAGGGCATGGAATATAATATTCCGGAGGTCAAAGGAGATAGGATTACAACCAAGAATCACCTACCCAGCAAAACTGAGTATAATTCTTGAGGGGAAAAAATGGTTATTCAGTGAAACAGAGGACTTTCAGGCATTCTTGATGAAAAGACCAGAGCTGAATAGAAAATTTGACTTTCCAATACAAGACTCAAGTGGAAAATGAAGAGTTAAACAGGAAAGAGAAATCATAAGAGACTTATTAAGGTTGAACTGTTTACATTCCTGCATGGAAAGATGATATTTGTAACTCATGAGACCTTTGTCAGTATTAGAGCAGTTGGAGGGAAAAATTATATAGATAGATAGATAGATAGATAGATAGATAGATAGATAGATAGAGGGCACAGGGTGAGTTGAAGATGAAGGGGTCATATCTGGAGAATAAAATTAAGGGGTGAGAGGTGATTATACTAGGAGAAGGAGAAAGGGAAAGGTAGAATGGGGTAAATTATCTCACAAAAAAACAGAAAAGAAAAGGATCTTACAGGGGAGGGGAGCTGGGGGAAGGTAAGAGGAAATGAATGAATCTTATTCTGATAGGATTTGACTTAAGGAGGGTATAACATACACACTCAATTGGGTATGGAAATCTGTCTTACCCTACAGGAAAATAGGAGGGGAAGGGGACAAGAGAGTAGGGGGATGATAGAGAGGAGGGCAGATTGGGAAAGGGGGTAATCAGAAGCAAATACTTCTGAGGAGGGACAGGGTCAAAAGAAAGAATAGAATAAATGGGGGGGGTGGGATAGGATTAAGTGAAATAGAATTAGTTTTTCACAGCATGTCTACTATGGAAGTGTTTTGCATAACTGCACAAGTATAGCCTATATTGAGTTGCTTGCCTTTTCAATGAGGGTGGGTGGGGAGGGAGGAAGGGAGAGAATTTGGAACCCAAAGTTTAAAAAAACACGTTTAAAAAAATGTTTTCATATGCAACTGGGAAATAAGAAATACAGGAAATGGGGTACAGAAATCTATCCTGCCCTACAGGAAAATAGAAGGGGAAGGGGGGAAGAGATAGCAGGGATAGCAGACTAGGGTAAGGGGTATTCAGAATGCATGCCATCTTGGGGTGGGGGGAGGGGCAAGATGGGGTGAAAATTTGGAACTCAAAATCTCGTGGAAGTAAATGTTGAAAACTAAAAAAATAAATAAATAAATTAAAATGAAAAAAAATATATTTAGATCAGTTATGGGACCAAGCTTAGAAAATTCAGTTTCTTACAATATTGGGGCCAGTTTGTTTCAAGGCTATTGACTCCTTTAAAGTCTTATTCCAGTAGCATAGAGGTGAGTCCTTGAAGGTTATACCTTCGTATGACAAATTTTGGCAGGCGCAACCAAGCTGGACAGACTTTGGTATGGAGCCCATGATGGACACCATGTTTATCATACAAAGATCAGCCAGGCTAAATATGGACACGACCTTCATTACTAGGAAGGACACTGGCAGATGAATTCTTTGGCCATGGCACCCGATGAAACAAAGGAAAATGAAGGGTCCTGTTTGACTCCCTTCTGTTTCTCCAAGGATACTGATAGAGGGGAGAAATAATAATAGTAATAATAATAATAATAATAATAATAAAAAATAGTAATAATATAAAAATGATGATGCTGATTCCTGGCATTGCTTTTTTAAATCATGCAAATTACTTTTGCATATGTCATATAGGAGGCTCTATGGTGGTGGAAAGAATACTGGATTTGTCGTCAGACAACCCGGGTTCCAATCTGGGTTCTGCCACTTATTACCTGTTTTATCTTGGGCAAGTCAACTTTCTGGCCTCAGTTTATTAATCTCCAAAATGAATGGTTTGGGTTTGAAATTAAAGTTGTAATTTCTTCCCATCTAAGGCCTTAGACCACCTGAAATCTATCCATGAACTCTTTGAGGAGGGGATCCATGGACCCCAGGTTAAGAACCCCAGACTAGAGGATCTCTATATCCCTTCCAACTCTTTCAGCAAACCTAGGGGCTAAGTCAAACAGGTATTATTATCCCCATTTTACAGATAAGGAAACTGAGGGCAGAGGTGAAGCAACCTGCCTAGGGTCACACACTTAGCAAGTATCAGAGGTGGGTTTGAACCCAGGTTTTCTGTCTCTGGTATAGGACTAGAGTTACCAGGCTTTCTCTGGAAAGGGCCAGAAGGTACTAAGAGATGGAAAAAGAGGAGGGAGCTTGGATTTCTATTTGTCTCATTGACACATGCTGTTGTAAAGTCTCTTCCCCAGAAGTACCTAATAGGGGAAGCTCTGAGCTTAGCCATTTTTACCTCCTCTTCTCAGGACTGGATTGACATGGATTCTAATAGTTTCACTGTTTTTTTATTTAATCCTCTGCTCCAGCTGGAGTAGATGCTGAGGATGGTTTTAACTAAGGCTCCCTGATAACCAATTGATTCGTGTGAGTCACGAGCTAATAGTCTGTAGACCTGCCTGTCCAAAGTTCAGAGGTCAAGGCTAAGTAATACGGTGCAGATGCTTCAGCCGGCACCAGTCATGGCCTTTCCTTGAATGCAGGTTTATTGGCAGCCCTTTGATGGCCGTGCACACAGTGCATAGACCAAGGGGTCTATCATTTCATTCAACTAGAGTCTGATGGCCAATCTCATATATATATCTCTTTTAGTAGTTAATAAATATTTATTAAATGCCTAATATGTACCAGATACCACCCTAAGCCCTGAGGATACAATAGGAGGCAAAAACCAGTCCCTGCCCTCAGTGAGTTCCCAGCCTAACGTGTTTCAGAAGGGTTACTTCAATGGTAGCTCATAGCATGGAAGAAATGCCCAATTTTAGACCTGGAAGGGACCTTCAGGTTCCAGCACCCTAGGAGGAGAAGTGACTGAAAATTTAGAGTACTAACTCTAACTTCTAACTTCCAGTTCTGACTGGAAGAGACCCCAGAGCCTGACTCCTGCCTTTTACAGACAAGGGAACTGAGGCTCAGAGAAATTCAGTGACTTGCCCAGGCTCACTGCCCATAGTAACCAGTGGGAGGTGCAGGCCTGGAGTGTCGAACCTTTGCTTGTCAGTCCAAATCAACCAATCATCCAATCAACAAGCACTTGGCGAGTACAACCCTTGCACTTTGTACTGGTGTGCTGAACTCTGGAGCTACAAAGAAAGACCAACATGGGCCAGGCTTCCTTTTCCTTCACCTGGCTCCATGGAGGCTGGCTCTCTCTCCTTCCTTTTCACCCCAGTTATAACACATTACGAGGTTATTCTTTTTTGGTCTGAGTGTTGTAGGATATAATAAGCTCCTGGTGTGCAGTCTCCATCCACTGATGCAGATTGCACCTCTTCTGCACCTAAGAGTCACACACAGAGAGATTAGGTGACTTGCCCAGGTATCTCAGAAGCGTAATGTGGACCTACTTTTTCTTGACTTGGAGGCTGGCTCTCTGTCCAGTATTTATCGTTTTATGTTCCTTCTTGTGTTGCCCTGTTCTCAAGCTGTTGGGTCCTTGATAGGAAGTGGTGTCACACGTGGAGTAAGTAGTGGGTTTGAAGTCACAGGGCCTGGGTTTGAATCCTGCCTCTGTACTTGCTCCCTGGATGGCCTCAGGCCAGTCACTTATTCTTTCTGGGTCTCAGTTTCTTCCTCTGTAAAATGAGAGGGTTAGACTAGATGATCTCTTGATACAGTGGAAAGAGTGCTGGGTTTGGATTCAAAGGCTCTGGGTTCAAATGCTGACTATAATTTTACTACCTGAGTGACCTTGGATAATTCACTTTTCTTCTGTGGGCCTCAGCTTCCTCATCTGTAAAATGAGGGGATTGGATTCCATGACCTCTAAGATCCTATCGGGCTAAATCAATGATGCTTCATTTCTCCCTCCCACATAAGCCTTGATTTTCTTTCTTTTTCTCTTTAATTGATGAATGTTTTCTAACTTGGTGAAGTTGTGCAAAGTTCTCATAGCCACATTTATTTCAATGCCTTTTTCTCCCTTCATCTTTGTGCCTGTCCTATGATATGATCCTTTGTTAGGGGATTCTGGGGTTGCCACAAGTCTGCTCTGTGAATACCAAGCAATACAAGGGACAGAAGAGAAGATAAAATGCTACGTATTCTTTTCCTTAATTAATTTTGCAAATAAAGCTACTCTCATTTTGCAGGATGGAAATGGAAATGATTGTCCAGATTCAGGTATTATATAAATTGTTGATCAAGGAACTTTGACTCAGAGATTATTGGGATTAGAAAATAGGGAAAAAAACAGGAAAACAGACTAAAATTCTTGCCCTTCACCCCTAAAATACATATATCTATGATTTCTCCATCTTCCCTCCATACATTGATTTTATTCAGCTTTCTGTATAGTTTGCATGTGTATGCCTTGGTGAGAATGGTCTATGCCTACCTGCATATAGCCCTTGGCACTGTGCCTCATAATTAGACACAATCAATGCTTTTGATAACAGCAACACTGGATCTAACTCGTGTTTACATAACATTTTAAGGGTGACCAAACATTCATGAGAATTAATTAGGGTTTGTAACTTCAACACATCTTATTCATCAAATTCACTTAGAAACATTGTGCTTAATGAAAACAGCGTGATGGTGTCGAGGTGCTATGGCACTGGCTGTCACGTTGAAATGATGACCATTTCTACTATGTCTTCTTTCTGAGATGAGATAAGGCCCAGCTGCCCCCTTTCTTGGCTCAGTGATCATTCCAGATGTCATAACTCATTCCTGGCCTCTTATTCTTCACAGCTGGTTTGCAGTACACCCAGTAAGCATGAACAACACAAACCACCTGGTCAATAGTGACAATGTTGGCTATGTCTCTTACATGTTTGAGCAAGAGAAGAATAAAGGAGAGCTGCCTGGACAGGTGAGATCCCTCCTTATTTTCTCCCTCCTTTGGGGGATGTGAGCACAACTCCATTGGGTTCATCAAATCACAGGTGCATGGAAGGTCTTAGAGGTCATTTAGCTCAACACCCCAATTTCGTGGCAGAGGAAACTGAGGCCCAGAGAGGTTGTGACTTGACCAAATCACAAAGACTATTTGGTCCAACCTTCCATCTAGATGAGTTAATTGAGGCCTAGAGAGGCAGCCAGCCTGCCCATGGTCATTTAAATCATCTGTAAACAAGTCGGCTTTTGAATTCAAATAAAAAAAAAACAAACCTCTCAATTTTACATTCTTTACCCTGCACCCCATTGCTTCACCATCCATTATGAGTCGCTGATTCTAAGATCATTCAAATCACTAATTCTGTTATATGTATATTTTTCATGCTTAGTTTCTTTCTCTTCCAAATAGAAGACAGAAGAAACAAAAAAACCTCATCAACTGAGATATGATGGAGCACAAACACTGGCAGTGAATCACCTGTTTATATAACATATAACAGCTTTGCAGCAGATATGTGTGTGTGTGTTTGTGTGTATGAATTTGTTAGAAACCTAGAACAATTTGTTTTTAAAAAGCAAGTAGGTGTCCTGAATTTCAGGAGAAATCACCAGATGTAGGGTTGACTCATCGGTGCTTCCTATCTTTCCAGAGTTTAGCACAGTGTTTGCTACATAGTAATCGCTTAATTTTTTTATTTGTTTACTCATTCATTCATTCTTCCATTTATCCATCCATTCATCTTACATTTACACATGCTGTTAGCTTTCAGTGTTAAGAGATTTCTGACTCCTTAGATAAAAAAAGTTTTCCACTGGGAAGTGACATTTATATTTTAGCCACAGTATGACTGGTAATATTCACACTTCTTGCAGTGTGAGAATTTTCATACATTTGACTTTATCCAGAACCCTTCACCATCTCATCTTTTTATTGTTTGCAAATGGTTTGGAGAGGGGAGATTGATAGAATCTGCTGTTTGCATTTGGAATACTCCTTATATGGGAAATTAGGACTCATGAAAAAGTCATTGGGTCTCTCTTCCGGCAGGGGCCATTTGTAGCTGCTTTTGCCTCCTCAAATCTTGGGGATGTGTCACCCAATATCCTTGGACCTCACTGTATCAACACTGGGGAGTCATGTGACAACTTCAACAGCTTTTGTCCAATCGGTGGGGTAAGTAGTAGACACAGTATAGCCTTTCAGTGCTCAGATATTAATTTCATTTGCATTCTTCAGCTTGGGTCACCATCATGGAATGATCAACAGGGCTCCTCAATGTCCACTCTGCTTCTTACTGGAATACAGTTGTTCTCTAAATGAATCCTCAGTGGTCCATTGGGTAAGATTATAATTTTCCCATATTGCATTGAATACTTACCATGAAAAACTAAAGGTGAAATAGGGGAAAAAAGCCCTTCACCTTTTTACAAAATCACCAAATAGCCCAATATGAAGGGACCTCAGGGGCCATGTAGTTCATCCAATATCTAAAAAGGAATCCCTTCTTTGTTACCCTGATGAATGGTCATCTAGCCTTCCATCCAGGGAAGGAGAAATCACTACCATAGATAGCCCATCACACTCTTGGATGGTAGTGGTGGTTGCTACTTTTGCATGTGGTCAACATTTTTTATTTAATTAAATTTTTTTTCATACATAAGCACAATGGATTCTACTAGTTTATTGGATTTTGGCAACCAAGTAAATAAACAATAAACAAAACCCAAGAAACAGCCTTGTACAGAACAATGAAATGTCAAGCATGAGGGTAATCTATAGTTTTGCCCTAGAATCAAGCAATCTATCTACCCATCTATCTATGTATCTATCTACCTACCTATCTATGTATCTATGTATCTATCTTATCTATCTATCTATCCACCTATCTATTTATTCTCTTCCCTTTGGCTACATCAAGTATAACTTTAGATCACTAAAAACATACAAATTAAAAAAAAACATTCTTTTACTTCGACAAGCTCCTCAATCATTCACCCATGGTTGCTTCTCCTAACTTACATCAATGATGCCACCTGTACAGTCTCCTTGAATGAGGAGTTCATCTTGGCCACCCAGGAGAATTTCCAAGACAAAAGCCATTGTGCTTCTTTAAGCTCCATTTTGAAAAGTTGCAAGGCCATGCTGTCTCGTTCCATTTTCTTCTTTGCTCTAGAAATGTCGGCTGCTCTAATCTTTTGTGATACTGTCGTCTTCTTTTTTCATTTGTTTGACTTCACCACTTCCACCTGTGCTTTCATTTTTCTCCTCCTCTCCCTCTATTCCTGCTATTCTTTGACCTTCACCAATTCCAGATTCTTATTTAGGGGAATTTCCTACAAGTGAGTTTTGTAACCTATTTGGAAAGTTCTTCTCTAACTCCTGCCTATATTTACCACCATCAGGCACAGATTCATAGTTGTCTGGTGGTACTGAGCAGACTCCACAGTAAAGAATAGGAAATGAATAATCTAGGTCTGTCTTGGTATTATTGCCCAGACCTCCTTTGCATTCAGGGACAGCAGACTTAGGAAAGAGTGTAGCTATTTCACAGACCTGTGGGCTTGCACATTGCCCACTACCTCTGGCCACTGGAGATCCCTGCAGGTCTCATTCTAGTCCAGGCCTGGGCTTTATAGCCCTGGCCACCCAATGTCCCTGTCCATTCCTCATGGGACTTAATAACCTCAGTCATTCAAGAATCCCATGACCTGATAGTTTGATCTGGGAAGGCGTTTTTTCCTAATTAGGTAAGGCACGCTCTGGCTCCCTCTTATAATGCCAGGCCTTGCTTCTCAGGTTTGTAGGAAACCCTGAGGAGTTTTGTGGGTATCTCTTCTCTACCACCATCAACTTAAGGGGTCACTGGCTGAATTCTCTCGATGGCCTGTGATTCCACTTCCATTTAACCACTGAACATAAATTAGCTTTTATGAAGAGACACTTACTTCAGAGATATGACAAGAACAAATGTACAGACATAGCATTTTGGGACCACATTCTCCCCTATACCGTGTCTGTCTCTGGGGAGAGTAGGCTCTACTTAGCTCAGTTCCTATCTAGCAATGGTTCCATCAGATTTACAGACAAAGGTGGCATTTCTACTAGATCATTCATTTTCTCAGCAACCACTGGGCCGGGGATCTGATGGTCACTCCCCAAGATCTCTCCTTGCTCCTGTGAGCGCTGATGCCTCACTGACTCTGGACTCAGACTCTGGAACACGGGAATGTCAAGGAGTCCTCTGCACCTTTTGGAACTTGCTAGGTTGAAGAGGCTCCATTCCCTTCATGTAGAGTAGAAAAGAACAAATCCAAAGGCCAAGGGCCAAGGCCCATCTTTTGGGACCATGTGGCCTCAGAAGGAAGAACGACCTCTTTCCTGCAATATGCTTTCTCTCCAGTGCTGTGGGCAAAGGAGTCCCATGACCAGAAATAGAGTAACCAAAAGGACCGAGGCTAAAAAGGGATGGTGGAAGCCATCTGCCTTGGCAGCCAGTCAAAGAGCTCTCTCTTCCTTCAGCACATGGTTGGCAGCCCAGAATTAGTTACACCTCCCTTATTCATCTTTGTGCCTTTCCTGGAAGCAAACTCCCCAGCTTCTCCATGTGGAAAGGTTGTATCACCTGAGCAAGCTGATGGGGTCTGCACTGACCTCAGGTCTAGATCTGTCTTTGCCAGCTCTACGCATTATCCCTGGCTTTGTCTTTGGGGGCCAAGCGGAACACACCTAAACCCCTTTCCACTTCACGGTATTTCAAGTACTTAAAGAGAGCTGTCATGCAGAGGCCCTGCATCTTTTCTCCTCCAGGCTAACCAAATATTATCTAATCCTTCAATTTATCTTTCCATGTCACAGACTCAAGATCCTTTCCCCAACCTTGCTGTGCTCCTCTGGACACTTTCTAGCTTGTCAATATCCTTCCTAAACTGGGCCAACCAGAACTGCATGTGACCCTCTAGACATGTCCTGATCAGGGTGAGGGCCAGTCCCATGATCACCTCTTCCAATATGGACACGTTGCTTCTCTTACTACCGCCTGAGACAGTGCTCCTTTCTTCCTCTGCTTTCTTCCCTCTGAATTTTGTTTAGAAGTCTGAAGACTTGAGGGGCAGCTAGGTGGTACAATGGATAGACCTCTGGCCTTGGAGTCAAGAGGACCTGGGTTCAAATCCAGTCTCAGACACATGATACTCACTAGCTGTGTGACCCTGGGCAAGTCATTTAACCCTGATTGCCTCACAAAAAAAAGAAAAAAAAGTCTGAAGACTTGGGGGTTCACTTATTGTTTTATTTGGAGCTCTTACAACTTTGCTGAAGTCATTTTTTCCAATCATTTTTAATTGGTCCTCAAAGGTTTTTTATGTACAACATCCTGTGATTTACAAAAAGTGATCATTTTGCTTCCTCTCTGCCCATGCTTATTCCCTCGATTTCTTTTTCTGTTCTTGCTGCTATAGCTAGCATTTTTAGTGCTATGTGAAATGACTGAAATGGACATGGACATCCTGCCTTTGCCCCTGACTTTTGAGGTTTCTCTTTATGCTGACGTACTGTGGGGTGAGCCCTGGTTTCAGTTCTAGCTCTGACATTTACTAATCTTTTCTAAAAAAATGATGAGTCTGAAGTAGACATCTAAGGTCCCTTTCTGTTTCTAAATTCCAGGATTCTGCATTTTTCTAGTAAAACTTGTATTCTATATTTAAGAGAAATTGGTGGAGAGATGACTTTTTGGTCTTAGTGCTTTGAATGAATGAGTGAAAGGCATTTATTAAGTACTTCTGAGTGCTGGAGAAGAAAGGGCCTGTCCTCAGGGAGATGAAACCTCAAGGGAACGGTGGCCAGGAAAGGGAAATCCAAAGGGAGAGGGGAAGCAATAGGGTTGGTGTGCAGAGGCATTAGACCTGGCGATTTGATCATGGTTCTCAGGGAAAGAGAGGGAAAGGTGGTTGTGGGCCTTGGAGGAGGTATGTGGTCATGGGCAGGCAAGAAAATGGCCCTGGGGGTCTCCAGGAATTGTAGAGCCATTTGATCAGGCTCAAGAAGCCGTTTCTGGTCTGTAATATTGCTGTCCTTAAGAGATTCCTTGTGTTTCAACCAGTCCTGGTTTTGTTTGATTTCCTGCCAGTCTGATATGTGCATGGCTGCGGGTCCTGGGAAGGACATGTTTGACAGCACCCGGATCATAGGAGACACCATTTATCAGAAAGCCAAGGTAAGCTGGGAGCAGACTCTGTCCTCTCATACATGTCCTAGCAGCCAGCTTAGCAGTGACCTGTGCCATTGTATGACTTCATTCCCCACACCAGGGTAATTAAGAGCTCAGCGATGATAAGAAAGTCAGCAGTTTCCAGATCTGCCAGAGAAGCTATGGGAGAGGAGGGAATGTATCAGATATGATGGTAACATTGAGAGATTGTAGCCAGAGCAACCTTCTCCCCCGGGCCCTTCTCTTGCTTTTCGCCTTCTGCTCTGTCTACACTAATCACATTAGTGCTGAAATCACAGCAATCACCCTGGGTCCGGGAAGGGCTGTCAGGCCCCCATGCCTATAGTCTCCTTCCCTGTGACTCCCCAGACTAGACCTCTCATTGTGGGCCACCTCTCCCCTTTATGTTTCCTGCCCCACTGGAATGTAGGCACCTTGATGCCCTACAGGGACTGATGCCTTTGCCTCTGTCCTCAGTGCTCAGTACAGTGCTTGGAACATAGGCAGCATTGGGCAAATGCTTTTTTGCTCATTAATTTTTTTTAGAATTCAGAACCCCTTAGAACCAAGTAGTAGGGCAAAGATATTACAGGTTGTAGTATTATAGGATTCAAGAACATTATCTAATAAGAAGAGATAAAGCCCAGTAGCAAGAATTCTTCACTGGGAGTCAGAAGACTTGGGCTCATATCTATGTTAACTTGGGAAGGTCATAAACCCTCTTTGAGCCTCTGTGTCCCCATTTATAAACTGAGGACCTTGGATTAGTTGATTTCTAAAGTCAAGCTGAATTTGGGGTCAGAGACTTTGCTTTGGTTTCTACCTGTGTGCCCTTGGGTAAGAAGTGGTCCACAAGGACCTTCCAGCTCTGAATTTGTGATTCTATGGTCCATGTCAGAGCAGGACAATTATTAGGTGTCTCTTAGTGGTCCAAGAAGAAATTGTGCTTTTCTGTTTGTCTAAGGTAGATGAGTAGAAGGCCCTTTCTCTATGAATCTAGTTCAACTTAATTTCTAATATTCTCTGACTTGGCAAAGATTTCAATTTTGTTTTCAGGGAATTTAACCTCTCCCACCTGATAACAGAGAGAGAAAAAAAGGACAGTCACATTTCTTTCCATGAGCAGGAATTTCTCCTTGATCTTTGCTCTCCCTGTCCCCCTTCTTAAATCTTTCCCAGGCTAATTATTTTCATCAGTTCTGTTTCCTGTCTTGCAAAATTGAAATTAATAACAATCCTGCCCTGTTCAATTCTCGGGCCAGTTTAAAGGATCAAGTGTGCCCAGATGCTTGCAATCACGTCCCAGGAACGATAGTTCTATATGTATAAGGGATGCTGAGGATCACAAGTATTGGGATCTGTAATCTGGGAATTATTATCTCTGAGGAGGAGGCAGAGTGGTCTTGGCAGTGGACGTTCCTAGCACAGATAAGTATGCCTCTTGCTTGTTTTCAGAACTGTCCCATTCACAGCCATGTTGTGGGTTTTAAGATACTTCCAAGAGGCACTGGAGGGAATGCTGGGCTCAGGATCAAGAAGGCCTGGGTACATGTCCTGCCTCTGACACTTCCTAGGTATGGACCCTGGATGTGCTACCTTTCAGAGCCTCAGTGAGACACTAGATGGAGCCCTGGCTCTTCAATCAGAGAAACTAGGGTGTGACGTTGGGTGTCTCCTTTAACCTTGACAGCCCTCAGTTTCCTCTTCTTTAAAATGAACTAAATGCACATGTATAATGCATCAGATTGCTTGCCATCTTGGGGAGGGAGAAAAATTTGGAACTCAAAATCTTTCAAAAAATGAATGTTGAAAATTGTCTTTACATGTAATTGGAGAAATAAAATACTATTAAATTTTTTAAAAATGGACTAGATTCTAGCAAACAGGTGGTCAGTTTCCTCATCTGGAAAAAGGGGACAATATCACCTGCACCACTTGGCCTATAGGGTTGTTGGGAGCCCCAAAGGAGATCATGAATATGAAAGTCTTAAAGTGCTCTAGAAGGGTCAATAATTACTGTTAATGAACCTATGATCTCATTATTGGGGATACCTCCTCCACAGCACAAATTGCAACCCTTCCCCTATTGGATATTTCCAATGATCTAGAGGCCTTTCTCTTGAATCAAAGTAAAACAGGGTTTTATCATGCATCAGGACCATTCAGGAGATAGATCAAGAGAAGGCCAGAGGGTGCCCACTCTTCTCTCTGTCCAGACTGACCTAGAGTCATAATAAAATTTTGGTATTGCAGTCAGGGAGCTTGGATCTGAGTTCCAGCATTGACACTTACTACTTTTGTGATCTTGGGCAAATCACTCAGTATCTCTGAGCCTCAGTTTCCTTCTGTGAAGATAAAGGGATAGAACAAGGTGACTTAATTAGCCAGACTAATTAGTTAAAATAGAAAGCAACCAGATGCACCTGAGCCCCTAGGGTAATTAATTTGATTTTCCACTCAACTGAATTGGTCTTAATGACTTAAGTCTTCTATTGGTTTCACATGATGAATCACAAAGTTGATCTAAGTTGACCCATTTTCTGCTCAGGAACCAAGATTTCTGGTTATAGCTCTGCGGTTTTGCCATGTAGGAAGAGTGAGTGTTCTCTCTGTCCTTGGCTGAGAACACAAGGGCTGAGCTCTCGCTCTCACTCAGTCAGGTAATCCCTACTGTTGATTCAAAGCCTCGGTCTCTGCTGGGTCCCGGCTCTTTCTAGAAAACACTCCCTAACCCATGGGGAAGTGACACCTTTTGGGGTTCTGTCTCCCCTCAGACTTCTGCTCCTCCTTCTTTGTGACTGTCCTCACAAGACTGAAGCAAAAAAGGATCATGAACCTGGAGCTGAGAGAGACCTCCAAAGCCACCTAGGCCATCCCCCTCCTTACACGGAAGATAATTGAGGCTGAGAGAGACCATGAGACTTGTGCAAGGTCACAGAGGTAGTGCGCTTCATAGATGGGTTTTGAGTCTCTGTCCTCCAATTCTGAAGTTAGTGTTATTTCCTTGCACCCTGTGAATTAATGAGATTGGTAGCTAGTTAAAG